CTCCCAAAATCTAAGCTATAGAATACCCTAAGATCCTTAAATGAATTGTTCACTTAATCTTAGAAATAGGTCAATATTCAGAAGTTGAGTCTAATTCAGTTGCAATTATAGGATTTTAGACCTGGGGGCACCTGAGCCATCATTTAATTCAGATGCCTTATTTTATAGAAATATGAGTCCCAATGGAAAAGCTACTGCACAGTTTTTTAGTGGCATTGTTAGACCTAAAACCCTAATCTAAGACTCAGTCATATGCCTTTCATGATATAGTAATCAGATCTCATCATAAATTCTAGGAAATGGTCCTTTTTCTGGATTTGATTATATCTTACGTTATTTAAACTAAGGTAGTCATCATCTGGGCAGAAATTCTTTTGTAATATGAAGGTATATATTTAATTTTTTATAAAATTTTTCATCTGCATAAGATTTCTAATGATTTTTGTACAATTAGCAGTAATACTGACCATCTATAAATGAAACAGATATATATTTTAAACATCTGATAGGAGATATATATTGGATGGGACAGTTAGGTAAGAAAAAAAATAAAACTAGAGCAAAAACCTATGTTTAAGTGACTGTATTGTTAATCAGCACCCCTTGTGGGATTTAAAAATTACCCATTTTTTAAGGAAGCAGCACTAAAATATTAACCACGTAAATATTAACCTGCAAAATATGATTTATGAAATAAAAGATCAAACAAATAAGAAAAAGCACCTAAGTTCCAAATCCCAATCCCCTTCTTCTTTTCACAACTAACTTTGATGAAAGGAGGAGTCTATACTCATGATCTCTGTTATTACCTCCTCAACCCACTGATACCAGGCTTTCCCTTTTCTCCTGAAGCTACTATCAAGATGTGAAGGAAGGAGGAAAAGAGCAAATGAATGAAGAGATATATACTCATTTAATTGCTTCACTTGCAATGATAAAGTGACTTTCATGCTTGACTCTTAGAACATAAGTAAAATGGAGTTGTCTTGAGCTTTTCCTTTGACTCAAACTTTTCTTAAGAACTGAGAAATTGTGTTACCTTGCTTTTCCTATGACTGAGCCTTTTAATACAGGGACTGAATGATGAACGCAGATGTCTCTTTGAGAGTAGCCCTTAGTGTTCAGTGAAAGTGAATATAATTGACCTTCTCACAGTAGCACACTAGTCAAGGCAAGTGAGGTAACCAGTGATGGAAGAAGAGCTTAATAGGGTATTTCTCATTTTCTGATGTGTTTGGAAAAAAATGACAAATCTTGAAGGGTGAATATAGTAATGTGGCTTCTGGAAAAAGTATGAATTAGTTTTTCTTTAGAAAATGAAATTTTTCTGGAGGGACTCTTTAATTTAATTAATTAATTAATTTGATATTTATAAAGTCTTACTTTCATTTTTGGTAGTTTTATAGCAAGGTATTGATATTAACAAGCCTTCAAACTATATTTCCTGTGTTTAGGTGATCCTGCTGTTTGGGCCGGGCTAATGGCAGCCTGTTATGCTGATAATAAACTGGCTCTAGTGAGCAACACTCAGCCAAAGAGGATGGACTTATACTTAGCACTGTTATCTGCTATTTCTGCCTCCAGTAAGTTTAAAAGAGCATTTAATACATGGTAAATTGAGGGTAGAGTACTCAGAAGGATATTGCCAAAAGGTAGCAGGCATAATTAGCCCTATGCTAAAAGCTGTTACATGCTCCTCTAACAAAGCTTAAGAACAAGCCTTGAAAAGATCAAATCATTTTGAAAGGAGCTTACCTGCATACCAAATAAAGTTCAAGAACATTATAGGAATACAGAAATATCCAGCATTCAACAAGGTGACATTCACGATGTCCAGTATCCAGCTAAAACTTAATATACATACAGACAAGCAGAAAAATAACACCCACAATGAAGAGAAGAATCAACCAATAGAAACAGAACCATAAATGACACATGATAGAAATCTCTTTAAAAAGTAATTGACTTGGGGGAAGGTATAGCTCAGTGGCAGGGTTTGTGCTTAGCATGCACAAGTTCCTGGGTTCGATCCCTAGTACCATTACATAAATAAATAGATAAAAATAAACTTAATATCACCCCCCCAAGAAAATGTAATTGACTATTTAAAGCACATATGACAGTAATAGCATAAAGACCGAGAGGGGGAAATGGAAGTATTTTGTTGTAAAGTTTTTATACTATAAGTGAAGTGGTTTAATATTATAGTCATTCCTTGTTATCTGTGGGGGATGGGTTCCATGACCCCCTCAGATGCCAAAATCTGCAGATGTGCAAGTCCCTTAAATAAAATGATATAATACAGTTGGCTCTCAGTATCCACGGGTTTCACATACGTATATACAGAGGGCTGAGTATACTTAAAAGTAGACTGTGACAGGGTAAAGATGAATACTCTAAACTTTAAAGCAGACACTAAAAAAAGTTATCACTTAATAAGTCACCAAAATAGAAAAAAATGGGATATAAAAAATAATCCCAAAAAGGAGGAAAAGGGAACAAAGAATAGATAAAGAGAAAACAAAACAGTAGAGTTAATTAAACCCAACCATATCAATAATCAAGTTAAATACATAGAATACAGAGATCAAGTTAAATAAACAGATACAGAAATTTATAACCAAATTTTA